ATAAAAATAATTTGAAGTATTAATATTGGGATTGTACTTCACTTATTTGAAATTTTAACAAAAACGGAAAAGAGGTCTGGTAACCATGGTAGCATTATTTTTTTTTGTTTTTATTAAATTAGATATATTAAAGAGTGTTTTGGTACAAAATTGAGAGGTGGGTTTTTTGAGGATTTTCGAAAATAATTAAATGAATTATAATGAAAAAGTACATTTGGATGTTACTTATTAAAAAATTTCTTATTTTGAAAACTTCCATTATAAGAAAAAAAAAACCATTAACAAAAGTTAAAATGAAAAATTCATAATAGATGTAATATATTAAGTCAAAATAATCAAACAAATACAAGCTTTAAATGAAAACTAGTCAATAAAAAACCAGAACTTGCATCTGAATAATTCATAAATGCTTATATAAGAAAATTGGTGTAATATGATTGATTAATTTAAAAATTAGATTTTATGCAATCATCTGTATCTATCTGGTATATGTGCCTTGATTTTGAAGATGATGGTTTTTTATCATAATTAAAATATGGGGCTTAGGAACCCAACAACAATCATCTCTAATCAACTTTATTACACTTTGGCCAGTGTAATAAAATGTTAGGTAAATGAGGATGCATGAATTTTACAAGAGCATCTTCATTTCTTTCATCAACTTCAAATACCAAACCAACCCATTTAAACATATCATATTTGCAAATATAATATTTTTCTACAATGATTTCTTGAAGATATTGAATTGAGCCAGTTGAATGTTTGATTAAATTCCTCCTGCTCAAAGACTCTTTTGACATTTATGCTTGTTGCATTCTGTGGAATAAATTGGTGGAAACTTCTTGTACCAGGTAAAGTCTTTGCATTATTCAATATGAGAGTCAGAGATTTACGGACTGATAAAATATCTTCGTCTTTTAAAAAAAGAAGTGGATGCCAACTATGTTTTCTTTTGAAAAATTAAACATTTCTTTAGCGCTCTGAATTAGTAGGTCAATTGGACGTTAAAGACTAAAATTTGAAACAAGTCTTTTAACTGTTCCACCAATGCCATCACATGGTGACTTTCCATGTGATGTTGCAAAGAAATTCTATTCACATTGCATTCCAAAATCTTAAACATGATGGCATAAGTTTAAAAAATGTTTTCAATTTTTGTACTGACTAGCACAACCATCAGAGAAATAGTGGATTTTATGGTATTGGGAAACATTTCTTGTACAAATTGGACAGTTCTTTTTACTATACAATAAACAAATCCAACATCGTGTGTTAAGTCATCAGATATAAAACATAAAGACGTTGGTTGCCCTTTAGTAGAACACTCATCATTTTTTATAAATAACTACAGGATGTAATGTGCATTGCTGTTGGTTCCAGTGGTAACTATGGATTTCGTCTTGTATGATAAATTTAAAGTTTTCTGCAAAGTCAACTAAAATAATAACTTCATTTATGGGTATAGATGACTTTAATGTATTTAAATATTTACTTTGTGCTTTAGCAATATAAGAATGAGATGTTATGCTATCAAGTTTTCCACAAAGACTTTCAATTAATTCACTTATTGTAGATGTGTTACTTAGAAGCTATGCTCTTTCTGTTGTACTCCATTGTTTGTATTCAATTGTTTCATCTTCATCCACTTTGTCATTCTCTTCAAATGATACTTTATTCATAGATTTGCAGTCATATAATTTATAATATTTTGAATTCCAGGGCATTGATTACATCTATGGACCATGGATTCCTTGACTCTTGCTACAAACAATCTTCTCAATAAGTTTATGGTAATTCTTCTCGAGTTTAACAGCGCTAAGCATAAGCTTTAGATTTTGGTGTTTTGCGCATATACAAACAGCATGGGTTCCTTTTTGACAAGCATAAATACACCGTTTTGGCTTTAACTGAGCAAATTTAGAAAATCCTATTTTGGATTGAGGGTGTTCTAGTTTGAATTCAATAAATAACTTCTTTAAAATGCAAAGAAGTAATTGCTTTGAAACATGTTTATTTTTGGATACACTTTCATAATCTTTTATACCTGGCGATTGCCTATTAAACTGATCATTACTATAGAAGCTTTCCACCTTATTAATGATATCTGATTCAATTCTATCAATGTTAGTTTTTTCTGAAAGTGTTAATATTCCTTTTTCAAAATTAAGTTTTCTTGCTTTAGTTATGGTTGATTTTGATATATTAAATACTTCAGCTGCTTTTCTTAAAGACCACGAATCTGGAATCAATGTTAAAATCTAAACCTTTTCTCTTCTATTTGCTGTTTTCAGCTTTTTCTTGCATTGAAAGTATCAATTTATCTACATCTTCAGCTTTCTTCTGATTTCCAACATTGGGCTCCCTAGTAACACCATTTTTCAGGTCTGTTGTGTTAACATTGAGGATAACTGATAGCTTTTTTGACATAACATCAGTAGCTTGCGTTAATTTTCTTTTTCCTAGAGAAATTTTAGCATGTTGTGAAACCCCATGAAATTTTACTGGCGATACATTTAATTTATCAAAACTGGTGTTAATAAGTTCTTTTTCTTGTGCCATTTCTATATCTTCATCAAAAAGTGTTTGTTCCAGAAAATCATCTTCACCATTGTGGTCCTGTAAGATAAATCAATTATCTATTTTTTTTTACCACTTCATTTCAAAATGAAGGACACATTTTAAAACCAGGTGTTGTTTTAATACCAATTGAACACATATCTTTTGCCAGTTGAATATCAATTTCTCGCAAACCACCTATAAATGTATTATAAATATACAAAATTCGCCAAAATTAGGAAATACTAATTTAGATAATATAATAATGTTAGGAATAAAATAAAAAGATTAAAATTTCTAAACTAATTGAAAGTGTACTAGATGTATTTTTTGTAAAAAGACAGCACAATAAGTTAAAAACGTAAAAATTTACCATTTATATTAGTTTTATGCTTTTAAAATAGATCGATTTTTTGGGAGTTAGCAAACCGGTAAAGTAAAATTTGTTCATGATGTAAACAGATTTTAACATTAACGTTTAATATTGATAGCCCAGATCTCCATAATAGTGAATTTCTATCTTTCTCTGAATAGCTTGATAAATCTTTCAATCCAATTGATTTAGTGGTCACCATTTTATGACATTGATCATTTGATAAAATACCAACTGTACATAAAATTTTGTTCATTTTATTTTTTTCAATTTTTTATTAAACTATAACTAAACACAAATTACACAGACATACCTAATATATTTTAATACATTATTAAAAATGGAAAAAATATTTACCATTTATAATTAGTATTTTTAAATATGTACAATATGTAATATTTTATGTATTTATTTAACTTTGATTTTATAATTTTTTTTTTAATTAATGAATAGCTATGGAGAACAAACAATAGCTGGTAAAATATTAGACTAATCAGACTAAGTCTTAGGGTTTTAAATATTGAGTTTTTCTTCTGTTTTAGTCAAAGATGACATTATATATCATTAATTAAAAAGCAAAAATTTATTTAAAAAAGAAATATTTATTTGAATTAAAGTTTCTTTAAATAATAGGTTAAAAGGATTTCTTTTGTATAATATTTTTGATAACTTATGAAAATTGTAAATGTCACTTAATTTGAAATAAAATCATGAACACAGACCTATAATACTTATTTTTTCACATAATGCTCCTATAGTTTTACAAAAAATTTCAAAAAACCCACCTCTAAATTTTGCACCAAAAAACTCATTAGAATATCTATTTTAATAAAACAAAAAAAAAATCACAAAAAAAAAATACTGCCATGGTTACCAGACCTCCTTTTTGCCTTTGTTAAAATTTCAAAAATATCTGTAGGTGAAGTACAATTGCCATATTGATATAGTTCTAAATATTCTCATTAAAAACAAATATTATATTTTGATTCCTCGTCCTAAAAACTATACTAGGGCTCATTTTCAACTTAGTTACATGTTTAATTAAACAGTAACTTGTAAAACAAAAACTATAGTAAAATCAAAATGGCCGCCGAACAGAAAAAACTGCTAAAAATAGCTAATTTTAATGTAACAATAACTCCGAAACCCCTTTGATATCAGTGCTAAAATTTTGCAAGGTAGTTTATGTTATATAGATGACCATTTTTACAAAGTATGAAGAAAATCTGAGATGGTGGGTTACATACCTGTCCCACTTTCTCATGGAATATCTTCATTTTATCTTTGGCTTTTAGTGCACCAATATAAAAAAGAAAATTCAAGAATTCAACAAAGTTTGCTCTTTTGTTATCAGGGTCAGTTTTTTTTTTTAAATTAAATTCTGTTATTTAACCAATATTTATTAAAAATATTGAACAATTTACTTTGGGTGTCTTTAATTTTTACAGTTGGAACATTGAAAAAACAAAACAAAACAAACAAACAATTTGAACATAATATATAAATAATAAATGGGAAAAACTTTATAAAAAACTGTTTAAAAAAAATAGCTTTTATACATTAAAATTAAAAATTATTTATATAAAACATATTTTTTTGTGTCCCAGGACATACATTTAAAAAAATTTTTTTCAGATAATATTAGGGAGCTTTTTAATATTCAAAGGTCAGTGGATAACCCAAAAAATAAATTTTATTTTAAAAATTTTGTGAAAAATAAATTTAAAAAAAGTAATTTTCATCAGCCCACCCTATAAAAGATACTCAATTATTTTATTTAATAAAATTAAGTCTTTATTCACTCTAAAAAAAAATTAAAATCTACTAATAAAAATAAAATTTAAACTACAAAATGTGGACACAGGAGTTTTTGAATATCTCAAGATCACTTATCCAAAATTTGTTAAAACCATATTTAAACATAATATAATGGAAAAAAATTAACTGCACTTAAATTTGATAGTACAAATCGTATTCTAGACAACCTTAATATACATTCATGAACAAAAAAAAGTTTCCATAACTTACATAAAAGAAAATTATTAATAAACAAAAATAATTAATTGATTACCTGAAAATTTTACAGCTTCAGCTAATGAACTATCTAGAAATTATTAAATTATATAAAAATTAAAAAACAATTATTTTTCCAAAAAAGAAAAAAATATGCATCTAAAAATGCATAACTAGTAATACTAACTAATAATAATACTTACTATTAATAAAAATGACTAATAACAACTAAATATATGACTGACTATGTAACTTAATTATTTGCGATTATATGAATGACTTTATAAATATGAATTACCTGTACTTTTGTCTGAAATATCATCTATTGAAATATCTAAAAAAAAAATTTAAATAAACAATTATAAAATAGTAATTTTATTAAGTATGTTTAAATTATTTGTTGTGTGTTCAAAGTACATAGCTGCAAAGCCATGAAATTATATAGAAAAAAATAAAAAAGCAAAAAACTTGAAAGTTTTTGAGTTGTTAACTAAAGAAATTAATTAAAACTATTTTCTAGCCTAAAACTTATCATGCCCATTTTCAAACACACTAACTAAGGAAATCAACTCCTTAAATAATAAAACAATTTGACGATTGCAATAAAAATAAATACAGCAATTTAAAAAATAAAATGTCAACAATAAATAGTAACAAAAAAATAAATTAATATATAAAATATCAACAAAAAATAGTTACAAAAAAATAAATAAATAAAAAGTCAACAAGAAATAGTTACAAAAAAATAGATAAATAAATAAAATGTCATTAAAAAATAGTAACAAAAAATAACAAAACTATATTTTGTTATTTTTTGATGACCAAACCCCTAACCCTTAAAAAAAAAGATGACGTATATAAAAAATTTAAAATTTCACAAGCAAAAAACAATTTCAATAAAAGAAATAATTTTGATAAAAGAGGTTATATACTGACAAAACATAGCAAACAGTTATATACTGACAAAACATAACAACCTAAAAACAATTAATTGTTTTAGTTACATGATAAATAATATGGATATTGGTAAATTTAAAATTTTTTTTGCTTATTTTTTTTTCAGTACTGCAAAAAAAGTAACAACAAAAAAAAAAATGCAGATTATAAAATTTATATCTACCAATATCCACATTATTTATACTCTTAAATAATAAAAACTTATACTCTTACCAATAATAAAAATTAAAAAAAAGTAAGATTTAACAAATAAAATAATCATTAATAATCATCAATTATCAATAATCATAATAAAAACGATAAAATAGTATAAATATTTCTTTAAAAAATATATAAACAAAAAAAATTTTCAATAACACTCACAAATAAAAACGTAAAAAGTATAAAATTTTCATAATAAAAGTAAATTTTGCTGGATATTTTAATATGATTTTTTTTTATTTAAATAAATAAAAAAAAAATCATATTAAAATATCCAGCAAACACAGCCCCTAAAAATTAATAAAATAAAAAAATTATTCTTTTTTGTTCCTTTTGAGCAATTTTCATACTTTATTTCAATTCTTTTTAATTACTTTTCATCTTTAAGTTTTTTTTCTTTTAATTTTTTGTCTTTATTCAGTTTTCTGTCTTTATTATTTTCTTGTTTCTTTTTTCTTTTTTTTTCTTTTTTTTGTTAATTTGTTTGATTTAGATTTTTGTTTATGTTTTTCACTTTTTTATTTCTCTCCTTTTCTTTTCTTTACTCGCTTTAATTTTATTTTAGTTATTTTTCTTATTATTATTATTATTATTTTTTTGTCTTTATTTATAACATAGGTTATATAAAATTGCCTGTCATTCCAGAAATCTCTGAATTGTACGATAATTCAATAAAACTGCAATGTATACTTCAATAAACCACATTGCAAAAACTGGGAAAAATATATTTACATAAAATCTACATGAATGACTATACAACTCTGAATTACCTGATGTTTTGACCAAAATATCATCTAATGAAATATCTAAATTGAAAAAAACAAAAACAAATTATAATTAACATTAGTGTAATAAAATATATTTTTTTAATGTATCTTTAAATTATGTAACAAACACCCTATTGGAAATATTTCATACAAAAAAATATGTACACCAGAATATGATGAAATAAGCTCATTTAAAAAATTTAGGTACTTTGACCCATGTATAGGCTGCAGTGTCCAACCCTGATGGGTGGAATGAAACAAAACAAGTTTTTTTCATTCTTAAACTTAACAGAAATCAACTGAAAAATTTGAAATTTTATCAATAAATCTTTTGTTGATAAAAAGTTATAGACAATTCTATTATTTCCCTATTTACCCCAACAAAATAAATTTAAATGCTTGCAACTTTTAAATAAAAATTTCTTGTAAATATAAAATAAAAAAAAAAAAATTGTTAGGGATGTTACAGTAGAGAAAAGTACTTAAGATCAAAGTAGGATAATTTCAATTACTCTTGTGCAAATAATACCAGTATTTTTGATTTAACACTTTAGAGTATGGCTTTAATTACTAGGATAAAAAAAATAAAATAAAAGAAGATTGTGATTGTTTGGTTGCAGATTTTTATAATAT